TTCCACCAGATCTCATAGCTTATAAATTGGGTTGATGTTAATGTCCATTAAATCTTTTTATTTCCAGGTTGCCGCACTGGGCGCCGTTAGCAACATAGTGGTTGATTTTAGAACTCGTAAATCTGTTTTTGTACAATGCGGAGGGATGAAACAGCTGGTTCAGTTAACAAAGTCTATGGAATCAGCTGTCAGGTCAAATGCTTTGTGGGCTTTGAAGAATTTTGTATTCCAAGCAGACAAGAGGTTGAAAGAAGGTGTTTTCTCTGAGCTCACTGCATCATTGTTATCAAGCCTTATCTGTGGTAATAATATTTACAATTCTTCATTTGCTTTCTAGTTTATGTGTTGACACAATTTCAAATCAAGATGCTTCTTAATATACATATACATTGCAGACCCGGAGCCTTCTGTACAAGAGCAAGCTTTGGCCCTTGTTCGTAATCTAGTTGATGGATGTATAAACTTAATTGAGTTTGTGTTTGCTGAAGATGGCCTTATATTAGGGGCCATTGGAAGACAGTTACAATGTGCTTCAAAAGCTGAGATAGGGATACAGGTTTGGATTCAAGGAAAATAACGTGTTAGGGTGCAGTTACTATTTAACATTATATATTTCAATTGTTCAAAATTGCTTTGATATTGGATTGAAGGTCTCACATCTTTACTTATCCCCCCAAAAGAGAAAAAGTCACATCTTTTCATTCATTTTTTCCTTTGTAACCAATAGAGATTTCTCTATGTGTAACCTAAGATATTAGTACACATCTAATCATGCCCTTTTCATTTGATCAGTTCACTTATATTCTACTTCAATATATTGAAGCAAACATTTTGTTTTGGAAATATAATTGTGACTACTTTTTGCACAAACTGTTTAACAAATGTTCATCCGTATCTGGAATGAAGATGCCATATTTGATTGTTTTGCACTCATAACCAGTTGGAAGTTCTCTTAGTCTCGCTCAAGATCTTACAACCTTTAACTTTTTCCCCTTTCATCAAAGTATTTATTGTATTTTGTTTTTTTTAAATTCATGGAGAAGTTGCCATTCGAGGAGAAATTTTGCAGACTTGATAGTTGGCTAGTTGCATTTCACAAGTTGCCTGAAGTTCTCTTGATATTATTTTATGTTTAATGATGCAAAGCTCATTTTGTTAAGGCATACATGTAGAGTATATTATGAATTAGCATACAAGCTGATAAATATCATATAGGAATTCACTATATATATTAGTTTTCATGTACTTGTTTTTGTCTATTGAAGTATAATGCTTGTGCACTTAAATAAGCTGTACAACTATGATTATTTGAGCAACAACCATTGATATTTTTGCTAGTATCTTTCAAGGATTTTATTTGGTTTCCATATGCAGTCATAAGGATTTAGATGTCATAGAAACATATATTGACAATTGAAAAACACCATGATTTTATAATGTTATTGTTATTTTCTCTTTTTAGCTTACTTTGAACTATTTGCCCTGTAGGGAATGTATGCACTGTGCAATGTGGCAAGTGGGAATGAGTTTCACAAGGAAGCAGTAATCCAACAACTCTTTACACAGATGGGTAACAAGAATCAATCTTTTGTGATTAAGTTTTTGCAGAGTAAGGATAGCCAGCTACGCACAGCAACTATCTGGACAATTGTGAATCTTACTTGTCCATCAAGTCCTGGTGCACCTGGTCGGCTTGAAAAACTGAGCAATGCTGGGATAACTTCTCAGATAAAGAATATGGTTAATGATCCTTGTGTTGATGTTAAGGTCATTAACATTTTATCTTTTGAATATGTTTTTTGTTGGCTTCACTTTTCTGGTTAACCTAATAGAAATATTTGTGGTACAGCTCCGCGTGAGAACAGTGTTAGAGCAATCTATGGCTTTCGGGGACAATTAAATATGTCCATGTTTATCCATTACACGGAATAAGAAAAAGCAAAGAGATTTTGAAGCTGTTAGTTTTGTCTTTGCAGCTTTTCTTTTGTAAGATATTATCAAGGCTTTCTCCTGTGGCTTGTAACAAATTGGTGAGTTTTTGGTTCATTTTTAATTGCTTTGATTGAAAATGGTCATTATGGTTGGACTTTGAAAGTGCTTCATCATAAAACACTAAGTGGGTTCAGGTTTATAACTAATCAAATTGGCAAAGTTCCTATTTAGATTAACAATTGAACAAAATTATTAAATATATCTCTGATGACATGTTATAATTGGATTTACAAATGAAGTCATTCACTAATGGCTAACAATTCCTGTTTGCAATGCTTTTATTTTGCAGGCACAACACATTGCTTTCAGTTACTGCTTTTTTCTCAGTTGAAGCAGTGCGGGAAGCTGTTATCAGTCAGTTTTTTTTTTACATTAAATAGGCATTTAAGGATTCATACGTTTTGGGTTGATAATTCCCTTTGTATCAATTGAGCATTGTACATGTAATAGTGTACCATGAGAAGTTGTAGATATAATATTTCCCGTCAAACTAGTGTATCACTTTCATGAAGAAAGCTTTGTTGTTCTCTATTTCTACCGCTAAAGTATGTTTCCTTTTAATTTAAGAATGCTGTCATTTGGCTAAACTGTTACACTTTTGATATTTGAAGTCTTTTACTTTTGGGGGATAAAGTACTCTGTTGAAGTTTTTCGTTATCATATAATCATGTAGCTTTTTATGCATCTTTATTGTTAGAAAAATGGGAGTTTATCCTTTGGTAGTGGTAAATGAGGTAACAATAATTGTAGGCTATTTGGAATCAATTTAGTTGAACAGTAAAGTGAGTCGATTGTGTATTTGAATGCTGGACTTGAGTTCAGATGTTTAATCGAGTTCTTTTGAAGGATATAGACAATCTTCACATTAATCATTGGTATATGAAAAAAAACATCCAATAACTTCATCAATAATGTGTTGTCCTTTCCTACGTTATATCTAAAATGAAAAGCTTTGTGAAAGTAACACCAAATATTTGAATGATATAGAGAACGTTAACCATGTTTCAGAGTTGTCTGCTGTAATTGTCAAGGTTAAGAAGAATACCAAGATCAATTTCAACTCTAGGGACAGAAGCAAACCTTGGGCAATTCTTCTCCTTTGTTATTCTGCAGCCCTTGCTTCAACAGAGGACAGTCTTCAATTCTTAAAACAGAGAGGGATTCAGGCAGCCCTGGACCGGACATGGATTGAAGGTGAGGGCATCTACAGATTTCAAGTTTTTTAATAAGGGAGTGCTTCCTTTCAGGCAGTGATTTTAGCTCTGCACGGTCAGAAACTTCAAGGACCGAGATTAGCAGCATGCAGTCCCAGTCAAATAACTCAAATTTTGAGCATAAACTGATTCAGAGGAAGCTGAGAGCTGGAAGAACCTGATTAGGTCCCTCTGCAACTGAAACTGAGAGAATTTATATGACATCCTCGTATATTAATATGATTAAGTTTTGGGGAATGGTTGTAGCTGAAAGGACGTTAGAGAATAGCAGCTAAATGGTATCTGCAATGTGTGCAGGGAGGCATAACTTGATCACATTAGCAATTCTAGTCTCTTGCACCTCATGATATCAAACCTTTTCAAAGTGGACAATGTCGCATTTTGAAGTGATGAAAGAGATGGGCAATCGCTGATTTTCGGATCTTCTAATCAAAGGCAATGCATTATCCCTTTAGGTAGAGATTTGAGTTTGGAGCATCCTCTGATTGTAAACTTGTACAGTCCAGACACAACATGCTTCACAGACACCTTATCTGAATACCCTAAATGCAATTCATAGATGGTTGGATCTCGTGGAAGGTAAACCATGAGTTGCCAACTTGACTTGAAGCAAATTGAGATCCCCAACATCACAACTCAAACAAGTGATTGCCTCACATTTTCGTCACTCGAAAAACATCAAAGTTGTCTGAAACAAAAACCCATATTTTGAGATCATACTTAAAAACTTAATTCTGTTGCCGTTGTAGACGATCTGAGCAAGGGTGGTCTTCCCAGTACCAACTATAGCAACTACCCGGATCCCATAGCTTCTTGAATCATCCGTGTAGGAACAACTTCTTTATCACCATCTCTCCCGTATACACTGGATTCATCCACCCAGGAAGTGGCTGGTACTTTTCTCAAGCACTTTTGTCCAAATCCTTCTCTCCAAGAAAAAACATCCTTCTGTCTTTCAAGATACTCAACTCTCTCCAGTATCTCTTTCAGCTTAGATTCAGTTCTCTTATGAAAAACTTTCGTACCTTGATTGTGCTAAGTTTGGGATTCAACTTCTAGCTTGCACCGCAAAGCTTCTGTTAAAACTTAAAACTTCATCCAAGAGGTCCTCTGCATCACATACAGCATCTTTAAGTTGGTTAAACCATTTCTTTACACTGTGGTTCAATATTTGTGCACCGTCTAGCAGGGCATTGATTGACAGCAGGGTAGCTTCCAATTTTTGGAACAATGGGAGGTTCAGCTCCTCTCCTCTGATGAAGTTTACGACTTCAGAAGTAGCTAGCCTGTCAAACAGAACTTGAAGGAAAGCAGAAAGGAATGCTCCACCCACCAATTCTATAGAATGACATGAAATTTTTTTATCATCAGATTTGAGCTACCACCAAAGCCGTCATTCTTCGGTGTCTTCTCTAAAGTCATGTTAGGCATCAATGAACTTGCCTCATCGTTTATTATTAGTTTACTGGTTAATTTTTTTTTAAATCTCGTGAAATTAGACATAAAGAATCTATAATTTTACAGGTTTAGAGATTTTTTCATATTTAATAGGTTTAGATTTTTTGTTCAAAAATTCAAATGGTAAAAAAAAATTTTAGAAGACAAACAACACGCCTCAGATTGCACAGATGATTAGAACATTAGAAAATTAAATCTTTAGATGAATTTTCGTCATTTTTAAATGTGTTTCGTGAAAAATTAATATGGAGTAAAATTGAAATGTGAATAAGTTTGACATCACCAATCCCAAATCCTCGAGTTACTTCCTTTAATAAAACAACGTTACATCATGGGTAATATTCATAACTTATATACAATTCATAGCATACAGAGTTCAATCTATAAGTAAAAACATTGCTTCGGACCAAACATGGTGAGTCTACAGAAAGGATACCTAAGGCTAAATCTGAAACAACTGCAAATGCATCCCCTCAGCCAATCTTCTCAGGGTTTGTATTATCGGAGGGCCAAACCACAGTCTCCATAAGCCGCTCGCGCATCAGTTCCAAGTTCTCTTCCGAAATCTCGTTGTATATTTGAGCATGATCACATTTCTATACATACATGCATACAATGTCAGGAGATACTGCAATTTTTTCCCAGCACCAAATGGAAAAACAAGAGATGTTTCATTTACCTTAATCCATTTCCCATACAGATGAAGCCGTGTTATCATCACTCTTTCAGCAAGCTCTTGATTCTCCTGTGAGTGCCATATACATCAGTTCTAAATGAGGTCAGCTAGTCTGAAATTGGTATTACATTCTTCTAATATTAGATTCCTATCCGAAATTATTCTAGTTTAAGTTTATTAGTTGAAGATTATCCGATAATCCAGTTTGCTTAATAAATAAATATTTTGTCAAGATTTATTGTTTATAAAGTAACAGGTAACAAAGATTAGAAGTGGCGGAAAGAGAATGAAATTGTTAAATATTTTGAATTTTCATCTTTAAAAAAATTCAAAAAAGTAAAAACCCTACAAATGGTTTAAAAATAAAAATTGGATAAAGAGTTTGAAAAATATTGAGTTAATAGAATAAAGGTTATCCTACGTTAAGTTACTCGAATTCGAGTATGAATATAAAATATGAATATATATTAGGTACATATATGATTAGACATTGAAGATTTTAAGGTATTTGATCTTGCCCCAAAAGATTATATCTTTATATCTGTGCCCAAGACATGAATCATTAAAGAAAAATGAAAAGTTCAAGTAATATAGATTCTAGGTATTTGAACATAAGTAGCATAAAAATTGAGTCGATTCCAGTAGGAAGAGATGGATGCATGATTTTATGTTAAGGGACGAACTTCTAAAATTTTAAGCGAAGGGTAACTTATAAAATTTTAGAGACGAAAATAAATTATCAATGAAAAATACAAAAAAAATATATAAACTATACTATAGTTTAAAATTTTGTTGCCCCAACTGCTCCCTTTCTGTCCATCCCTAATCTAGAGGATGTTTTGTACTTTTCCTAACCTTCATGTTTATAGTAATTATTAGTGGATGGCAGCGTAAGAAGAAACTAGTGGACTACATAAAGAAGAAACTACCTTGCCGAGCGTGCGTAAGAAGAGCTTGCCATCGCTGGGCTTATTTGATGCCACATACCTGACAATATGGAAGGCAAATTACCAGCAACATCATAATCACACAGCTTTCTTTAATCTTCACATTCTGTTTCAATTTGCAGGGCTTAGAATCATATTTAAACTTTTTCGGAAATGTTTCGGGTTTGAGTTCTTTCAAATGTAAACTTTTGATCAACTGAGTTTAAACACATTTGAACTTGAATTTCTTTCTTCGAGCTCGGGTTCATTTTGTAACCTCTTATAGCACAGTTTCCCACAATCATAGTAAGCCACGGTGTAATCAGAAGCAATTAGAAAAGGGACGAAACCAGATATGCAACTTACTGATAAAACCATGTATATTTTGGAGGATTCATTTCATAAAGCTGAGTAAGAACAGTCCTCACTGCTTTGTATGTGAAGTAATTGAGTAATTGCTGCAGGCAGAAAAAGCATTGCCATATCAATAAACATGGCCTTATCTAAGAATGAATCATGTAGCTCAGTGCTTTGAAACTCAGTTTTAACATCCATTAGTGTATCTTCCAGAATGAATTATGCTTCCTGTACTACCTATCTTAACAAGGAAAGTGCAGAAATCTCACCGTTTTAACATCCCCAAAAGTATCTTCATACTGCCCTCCCAAATCATTGACGACCACAAGTCTACGGTCCTTGCGCTGCTGCTTCCTCCAACTCCTGTTCAGAATGGTCTTGGAGGACAGCCTCCAATCAGGCCATGAATCCACAAAGGAGCTGCCTAATTCCAACGAACCAGGCCTTGCAGCCGCATGCTTTCTTTTGAGGTTGATGTTGGTAGATGGCAGTGCATCCAAGCACAAACATGGACCCGTGTGAGACTCCATAACCGATGAACTCACCACAGATAAAGCCCCCACCATCTTTCTCGGTGAACTCAGCTCAAACTAAAGACAACTTCCAATAAAAAATGAAAAGGTAAGAATACCCAATGACCAGATCAGTGTTATGGTTTAAAGTAAATGGAGAAAAGTAACTCGGGATTGAAGGAGAAGGAAACAGAATTTGATGGAAAGTGTTGTTTGTGCAGAAGGGAACGTGTGGAGAATGTGGCGTGGATTTAAAGGGAAGGTGAAGCTTAACCAGCCAGTTTCTGAGGTCCAAATTTGTCTGAATTTGATTTAACTGTTCAAGAAACGAAACCACAGGTAGCTTCGTTTGTGTTTGGTTTTGCAACTTGTGTGAATCTTGTTGGGATTCAATGAATCTTTGGTCTCTAAACGTGCTAAATTCATCAACCCTAAGTCAATTAAATGCAATTTTCAATCTTCAAAGTCTCGGTATTCAACTTGATTAAGTGTTCTTCCGTAGGGGCACTTTAACTTTTTATTACGATAATATATATTTAAAATTTTTATTACGATAATAGATACATATTATATAAATATAATTATTCGAATTTAAATCTTTTTAAAAAAATAACATTTTATTTTATCATTAAAATTTACTTTAACTTCATATTAATTTGATTGATAAGGGAACAATTTTCAATAATCGGAGGTATTATTTTGGCTGATGATATGAATGTTATATAGAGTACTGTAATATTGATTATAGCACCATACTTTCACGCATAAAATTAAAGAAGAAAATTATTTACGCAACTCGATGAGATTTAATCTTTGAGATTACACTTAAATAATCAATTCCTTGTTCAAACAAAGTTCTTTAACGATATTAACAAAATAGAATAATTAAGATTTTTTTTTATAATTTAAGGGACAAAACGTCCCAAAAATATATTTTGAGGGTTAAACTATACAAAAGGTATACTTAGGACGCAAATCAGCCTTTAAGCCAAAATTAAAAGTAGAAACCATATAAACGTTGACCTGTTTAATAGCCTTGCCATGATCATAAGCCAAAAGAAGGCATTGTGATAAGCTGAACAAATTTCTAGATTTCCTCTCTGCAACTTAAATCCCTGGTTTCCTCATACAATTCTTCAATAGAATGGCTGCTGAATTGATGGGTGGAGTTTCCTTTCTGCTTTTCTTCAAGTTTTGTTCGATAGGATGGCATCTCCTGAAGTCGTAGACTTCATCAGGGGAGAGAAACTGAACCGCCCACTGTTCCAAAAGTTGAAATCCACCTTGCTGTCCATCAATGCCGTGCTGCACGATGCAGAAGGGAAGCAAATCGTGAAATGCAATGTAAAGAAGTTGCTTAACGAACTTAAAGATGCTGTTTATGATGCCGAGGACCTCATGGATGAAGTTTCAACTGAAGCTTTGCGATGCAAGCTTGAAGCTGAATTCCAAACCAGCACCACCAAGGTACGCAAGTTTTTCACTTCCCTAAACCCATTTCATAAGAGAACTGAATCTAAGCTGCTAGAGATACTGGAGAGGGTTGAGTATCTTGAAAGACAGAAAGATGTTCTTTCTTTGAGAGAAGGGTTTGGGGAAAAGTGTTTGAGTAAATTACCAGCCACTTCCTTGGTGGATGAATCGAATGTATATGGGAGGGATGATGATAAAGAAACTATAAAGAAGTTGTTGGACACAGATGATTCAAGAAGCGACGGGATTGGGGTAGTTGCTATAGTTGGTATGGCTGGGATCGGGAAGACTACCCTTACCCAAATTATCTACAACGACAACAAAATGAAGGAAGTGTTTAAGTTTGACCTCAAAGTATGGGTTTGTGTTTCAGAAAACTTTGTTTTCCGAGTGACGAAAGCGATTCTCGAGGCGATAACTTGTTTGAGTTGTGATGTTGGGGAACTTAATTTGCTTCAAGTTAAGCTGACTGATTGTTTGATGGATAAGAAGTTTCTGCTAGTCTTGGACGATGTTTGGAATGAAAATTATGTCCATTGGGAGGCCTTGAAGAAACCTTTAACTCATGGAGCTCAAGGGAGCAAGGTCATTGTCACCACACGAAATGAAAGTGTTGCATGCACTGTTCCTTCTTATTATCTGAAGCAGTTGGTTCTTATTTTCCAAGCATGCATTTGGTAATAGAAGTTCCAAAGAGGACGTAGTGAACCTAGAAACCATTGGTAAAGAAATTGTGAAAAAGTGCCATGGCCTACCTTTAGCAGCCAAAACAGTCGGAGGTCTCCTTCGATCCAAAAGGGATGTCAATGAATGGCGTAATGTGTTGGAGAGCAATATCTGGGATTTATCAAATGATGATGAAAACATTGCTCCTGCTTTACTACTAAGCTATCATTATCTGCCCTCATATCTAAAGAGATGCTTTGCATATTGTGCTATATTCCCCAAAGATTATGATTTTGAGATTGAGAATTTGGTCCTGTTGTGGATGGCCGAAGGATTACTGCCTGAACCTACACGAAACAAGAGACCGGAAGATGTTGGGGTTGAATACTTCAACAATCTACGGTCAAGATCATTTTTCCAACAATCTAGTGGCAATAAAAAGCTCTTCGTCATGCATGACCTCATTCATGATTTAGCCAAATTTGTGTCCCAAGGGTTCTGCTTGAGTTTAGAAGTTAATGATTCTAATGAAATCCAAAAGACGGTTCGTCATTTTAACTAGTTATGATGATTCTCAAAAGTTCAATGCCTTCAATGAATCCAAATGTCTGCGCACCTTCCTACCTCTAAAACCCTTTAATTGGTTTGAAATACTACCTTACCCAGTGTATCATGATTTATTGTCAACTTTAAAATGCTTACGAGCTTTATCTTTGTCTAAGTATGATAATGTAACAGAGTTGCCTGATTCAATTGGAGACTTGCAACTTCTCCGCTATTTGGATCTGTCATACACTGCAATTGAGAGACTACCGGAATCTGTTTGTGCTTTGTATAATTTGCTGACACTGTTATTAGCAGATTGTGGTTCACTCATTCAGTTGCCAAACCAAATGGGAAAACTTGTCAACTTGCGTCACCTTGATATTAGCAGGGCACGGAGGCTCAAAGAGATGCCACTACAAATGAGCAAATTGGCAAATCTACAAACACTAACTGCTTTTATTTTGGGGAACCATAGTGGATCTAGCCTTTCAGAACTTGGGGACCTTCGGCAACTTAGAGGCAGTCTAGCTATTTTCAATCTTCAAAATGTTGTCAATCCTAGAGATGCTTTGGAGGCAAACTTTAAAGACAAAGAGTACCTTACTGAGTTGATACTGAAATGGAGTGGTCATACTCTTGATACATCTACTGAAAGAGACGTATTGAGCATGCTTCAGCCTCATACAAACTTGGAAAAGCTATCCATTGAATCTTATGGTGACACAAAATTTCCTGATTGGTTAGGGGATTGTTCATTCTCAAACATAGTATCTTTGCAGCTTAGCCATTGTAAATGCTGCTTCTTCTTACCACCACTTGGGCAACTACCATCCCTCAAAGAGCTCTTTATCATTGGATTTGATGCTGTTGAGAGGGTCGGAGTTGAGTTCTACAGAAACAGATTATCTACAGTCAAGCCCTTTAGGCGGCTTGAAATTTTATGGTTTGAGAGGATGCCAGAGTGGCAGGAATGGCTTTTATTTGAAAAAGACGCTGAAGGACATTTTCCACGTCTTCAAGAGCTTCATATACAGAAATGTCCCAAACTAAGTGGGGCTCTGCCGGACTACCTTCCTTCATTGAGAAAATTAATGATCATTGATTGTCAGCAACTCGTGGTTTCACTTCCGCATACTCCAATCATCTATGAATTGCATTTAGGATATTCAGATAAGGTGTTTTTGAAGCATATTCTGCCTGGACTGCACAAGTTTATTATCAGAGGATGTTCAACTATTGAATCTCTACCTACAGGGATAATGCATTCCCTTTGTTTACGAGGGCTGACAATCTGTGATTGCCCATCTCTTTTGTCGCTTCAAGATGTTATGCTGTCCACTTTGAAAAGACTTGATATCATGAGGTGCAAGAAACTAGAATTGCCTATGTGGTCAAGTTATGCTTCCCTGCAAACATTGTGGATGTCCTTTAGCTGCTTTTCTCTAAAGTCCTTTCAGCTACAATCATTCCCCAAACTTAATCATCTCCGAATAAGAGTATGTAATTTAAATTCTCTTTCAGTTTCAGAGGGCCGTAATCAGGTTCTTCCATCTCTCAATTCCCTCAGAATCAGTTTATGCCCAAAATTTGAGTCATTTCCAGTTAGCGGATTGCATGCTCCTAATCTCACCGTCCTTGAAGTTTCCGACAGTATGGAGCTAAAATCACTGCCTGAAAATATGCACTCCCTTCTTCCGTCGCTGAACTCATTGAAGATTCGCAACTGTCCAGAACTTGAGTTATTTCCTGAAGGTGGCTTGCCTTCGAATTTAAACTCGTTTTCTGTCTCCTTTTGTGAAAAGCTTACTTCAAGCTTCAAGCACTGGGATTTGCAGAGGCTTGGCTCCCTTAAATACTTTAGCATCCGGGGCAGATGTGAAGGTGTTGATTCTTTTCCAGGGGAAGGTTTTCTGCCTTCAACACTAACATTTCTTTACATTTCTGAAACTCCCAACTTGAGATCACTAAACAACAAAGCACTCCAACATCTCAACTCCCTTAAAACTCTCAAAATTCGTAGATGCCCTCACCTTCAATCTATGTCCGGTTCGGAGCTGCCAGAAGCCCTCTCTGTTTTAACAATTAAGGAATGCCCTTTGTTGAAGGAAAGGATGGTAAAAAACAAAGGGGAAGATTGGCCCAAGGTTGCTTTTGTCCCCATAGTTGAAATTGATGATGTGGTTATATGAGCTTAACACATCAATTATGTTCAACATGGTAGTAATTTGCTAAAATTTAGCATTATGTTCAACAATCAACCGCAGAAACAAGTTCATTTTCCAAACTGGTATTGAATGTCAATGTAGTTGCCTCAAGTTCTTGATCTGTTTTGTCTGGTGCTACACATGAATTGGATTCTTATAAATATGATATATTTATATAAATTTTGAAATTGTTGATGTAATCTTGTACGCTTGTAGCTGATTGGGGTAGGCTAGCACGAAGCCCATATCATTCGACCGACTTCACTTTAGCCCAAACTATAATAAATCCAGAACGATTCTCTCGTTTAATCGTCTCCTTTCCTTCCCAAAAACACAGACAAATATCGCATATAAGGGAAACTTCAAATCTGGGTTTCCTTGATTTTGAATTGCCTCGTCTTTTCCGATTCTCCTTCCCACCATATTTTTTTCTTATTATTGGATAAACCGCTGACCCAACATCATCAGACTCTTCTTCCTTCCCCTTTTCACTTTTCCTTAATAAGAGAAGGGTAAAATTCAACATGTTCTACAGACGGTAAAATTCACTTGCTCTTCTTCTTTTTTGTTTCTTACTTGTTCTGATTCATATCTGTGATTTTATTTTCTGGGTTTTGTTCTTTAAATCTGTTCTCTTATTTTTATTTTTTTGGGTCTGGATTGGTGAATTTTACAGTTGTGGTTCTTTTTCCTCTTGGATTGTTGTTTAGGGCTTAGCTCAATTTTGGCCGTGATGAAAGAAGAAAAGCAACAAAAAAAAATGAGAGAGAAAGAGATGGGCTTTGAGCTTAAATAGGTTAAGATAATAGTTATGGAATCGATTCTTTTATCTTCCCTATTTGAATCTTAAACACTGATTTTTAGGTATTAGAAGGCAATTTATTGTCGCTATTCATAGTTTATGCACGTTTTCTGCTTGTTCTATGTAGCACCATCAGCTTAAAATGAGTTGATCCTTTTCCTTACCTTTTATCGTTTACGTAAGTTAGACATCTGTTTTGCACTTCAATTTGCTTGGCTTTGTAGGTTTGCATTAGTACTTTTTGTGTTTTTGAGTGTGGTGACATTTTTCTGGATACTCTCAATGTTTGGAAGGTAAGCCACCCTCGAGTGCATATCAAGCTTATCGAAGGTTCCATAATACATGTTGGATACCATTTTAAAACTTTAGCTAACAGGTTTTTTCGGTCTTTCGTGTGTATAACTGTATGCCACCTTTACGTTCTACTTTAAACCGATCAAAGATATCATACTCATGTTTGAATCTCAACAAATCTCATAGGTTTGAGAACTCTCCCGTCCAAGTACCCTTGTTAACTCTCTGAGTTAATGTCGATACATGCCCTTAAGTCCACACTCGACCACCCCATATCTTGCAAATTGCGATATATAGGATATTTCCTTGCATTTCTGTAATTCTTAGCGTCCAAGTTTCCCTAGACACCTAGAGCTCTAGTGCACCATCTTATATTTTGTACTATGCATGATTTGATCCTAGGCCCCTTGAGACTAAAAGGGAGATTTCAATTACATGGAGCTTATATACACCTTTAGTAGTCAACTGTTTAATTAGTGATTTTGTTGGTAATTGCTCAAATATATAACAAGTAATCAGTCATTTGAATTGAATGTAACTAAACAGAATCTAAAGTATAATCAAATTGATTAATCACTTATTCACTTTATTCGTGGTTAGCTGTGAATTTATATGAAATTAATGTCATATAATTGATTTTTCATTTTTCTTTGAAGCACTGAAAACACAAGTGTCCATCCTTGCATTGCTATTTTGTTGAGTTTTAATTACCAGTGTTAAAGAATATAATCAATATTTATTGAAGTATTGACTGGTCTTCCCTGTTGCCTTCATGATCTCTGGAAACAGGAGTAAATATACCGATGGAGCTGATGGGCGTGAAATGGGTGCAAAACGTCAGCGGATCATTGATCAAGGCCCTTCATTTTATGGTAATTCACCAGGTTCAAGCTTTATGTACACTGCCCCTCCTCCTTACTCATATGTTAGCCAACCTCCATGTTTCCCTGTTGTTCGACTTCGTGGTCTTCCCTTCGATTGCACAGAGGTTGATGTGGCTGAGTTCTTCCATGGTCTGGACATAGTTGATGTCCTTTTTGTCCATAAAAATGGCAAGTTCAGTGGTGAAGCTTTTTGTGTATTGGGTTATCCTCTTCAGGTTGATTTTGCCCTTCAAAAGAACAGGCAAAACATGGGGAGGAGATATGTAGAGGTTTTCAGAAGCAAGAGACAGGAATATTATAAGGCAATAGCTAATGAAGTGGCTGATGCACGTGGTGGTTCACCTCGCAGAAATGCCTCAAGGGCCAAATCTAGCGATGAAGCAAAGGAAACTGCTGAACATACGGGGATATTGAGATTGAGGGGACTGCCATTTTCTGCTGGAAAAGATGATATAATAGACTTCTTTAAAGATTTTGTGTTATCTGAAGATGCAATTCATATAGTGTTGAATTCCGAGGGGAGGCCAAATGGAGAGGCATTTGTGGAGTTTGCAAATGCAGAAGATTCGAAAGCCGCAATGGCCAAGGATAGGATGACACTGGGGAGCCGTTATATCGAGTTGTTCCCTTCGTTTCCTGAGGAGATGGTTGATGCAATTTCCAGCGGACGGTGATTCTTCTGACAATGTTCCTTTTATTTGCTACTCAAAACCTGCTATGTTTCTCTTTGGAGCTGGAATTTTCTTTAGTAGTTTTCTTGAGTTAGGAAGATAAAAGTGTTACTATCCAAGAAATTTGTGTGATGTGTTATGGTGGGTTAAATACAAGAAGCTCTCATTAGCCTTTTATCTTGCCAAACTCATTAGCCTTTTATCTATGGTACTTGTGAAGACACTTAAATTCGTCCCTCATAATACATACATATAATATTATATTATGTTATAAGTTATAATATATATATAGTTTATTTACATTTTTTTTTTCTCTTCTCTCCTTTTACAGGCCCAACAGTAATGACCCAAGTGACCCACTGGAGTTAGGGTTCCCAGAACCCTAGCAGTTTCCCCATCCAGCGCCGCATCACCAAGATTCCAGGGCTATCACGTCGCTCCAAGACCCCCATCACCGCACGTCTCGCCTCCAAACGACCGGAACTCTCGGCCACGCAAAGAAACAAGCAACAACAACCAACATCAGTGTTTTACTCTAATTTAAACTCTAAAAATAGCCATTTTTGGGCTATAAATATCATGTAAAGCACACAAGTTTGGGAGGACGAAAAATACACAAAAAAATATACTAGGCACGAGCACACAAAGAGAGATCGTGAGAGTCACAAAACTCAGAAGGTTGTAAAATCATTCGAAGCATTTTTCTTGAAAAGAAATAAAGGGTATTTTTCTTGGTCTTTTACCTTTGTTTTTGATTCGGTTCCCTTGCACTGCTTGCATGTTGTTGTTGTTGAGTCTCCTTTGAACCATCAAGAGAAACCTTTTGGCCGATGAACTCTTAGGGGAAGGATCGAGACTTTGATCTCAGTTCTACCCTCCCCCGAGGCCTATTTCGAAAAACCAGTTTAAGATTTGGGTTGAAGGCAAGGAGAGCTTTCGAAAAAAGCTTACCTTTTCGTGTTTGGCCGCCGATGAACGACGGCCGCCGCGGATCAGCGGCGGTGGCAAGGCAGCTTGAGGCGGCGCAGGGCCGTTTTCTGGAAATGAATGGTGGTATTCATCAGTTGGATGAACAAAAGAGAGAGTCTGAGTGAGGGAGGGGAGCCTTCGACGAGAGAAGAGAGAAATGAAATTTCAAAAAAAAAATATTTGAGTCATATAGTTAGCCCAGCGGACCAAACTGGCCCGACCCGTGCTTATATCAGATCCGCGTGTTTTGCTAAAAGGGGTAAACTTCGTTTTGGCTCCCTCTGTTTTGAAAAACATTCAATTTGGTCCCCAAATCGGTTGGGTAAACTTCATTTTGGTTCCCTCTGTTTTAAAAAAACATTTAATTTGGTCCCCAAATCGGTTTAATTCCCTTGGTTATATTCTGATTCTGCCATCTAACTTTATTTTGTTTCATTTTACCCCTTTATACTTATATATATTTTATTATATCTCGTATTTACTCTTTTATACATAGATATTTGGATTTTTATTTATTTACACTATAATATATTATATTCCTATTAGTTTATATATATACATTACTTATTTTTCTTTTATTACATGCTATTTATTATATATATATTACTCATATTTGCTTTTTTTATTTTCTTTGTTTTTATATTTTTTATGGATGTATATTTTTATTTACCTATCTATTTATATTTTTATATATTTTTATATTAATACTTTTTGTTGTGTTTTACAAATTATTATATATGTATATATTATTTTTAATTTAACTATTACTATTATATTCTTTTTACTAAGTTATATATATATATATATATTTACGTTATTATTATTATATACGTATACTTTTTTTTCTTCATTGATTATTATATACGTATATTATTTTTAATTTAACTATTACTATTATCTTCTTTTTACTAATTTATATATATATATATTTACGTTATTATTATTATATACGTACTCTTTTTTCTTCATTGATTATTTTTGCTTAATGTTATATTTTAATATATATGTATATATATATATATATATATCTATGTATATACTTGTAATAGTTTATTTATATATCTATTATTATTATGTGTACATTTCAAACGTTTTATTCGATTACCTTTTTCTTTACTTTGTTTTTATTTCTTTGATGATCATCTTTTTATTCATTGTATTTATTTATTCGTTGGTTGTATGTAGATTATTAATGTTTCATTTATTTATTTTACTCTGCTTATTAACCCTTTTTTTCACTATTTTTATCTTCATTCTTGTTTCCTTTATTTTTCATTTTTTTTATTTTCGTTCTTTAACGTCTGTATTGTTAAGGGAATTTCAATCAATCAAGGGTAAGTAGTTCAGATCGATGTTTTACCTTTTAATTTAACTTTCAATTCTCTTAATTAAAGACAACTGGAAATTACATAGTACCGAAAGGGCAGTTCAAGGGTGCTAATCCTTCCTTGGCTGTAATCGACTCCCGAGCCCGACATATTTCCGGTAAGACGCAGATCAGGTAAGAAATAGGGTATCCGATCAACCCATTTATTTTTAAATAAATGATCGGTGGCGACTCTAACCCAATTCATTCAAGTCGAAGCCCAATTCCGGGGCCCAACCGAAAGACGGTTACGACAGCTTGGCGACTCCGCTGGGGACCTTTTTTAAGTGAGTCAGGCTAAGGTAATTTCCAGTTGTCTTTTTAATGAAAAGGGTAAGTTTGAACTTTAAGGTAACATTTCGATCCTTATTACTTACTTTTGGTTATATTTTTTCGAGTAAATAGTTGGACTGACCGTTTTCTAATGATTTCAGTTTTCCAAACTTTTTCATCCAAAGGCTCTATACCCGAGCTCCGAACCCTTTAAGTGGGGGTGAAAGCGACGCATTCGTGTGAATTTATTCACCGCATATGCCTAGCAAGTAGCCTTCGGGATTCATATACCTTATGTCTTTGTGTGAATTTATTCTCCGCATAGACATAAGGGAATGTGTCCCCTCGAGTTTAACTTAGTCCACACAAGCCTGTGATGGGTTTAGGACTAAGGGTCTGATAAGCCCAAGGGGGCACCAGCAAGGAGAACTCGGGTACCGTTTTTAGAACCTAAACCAAGAGACTTCGAAGGAATAGAGCCTACCCCAAAACCACATTCCAAAACCTAGGACAATTGATTCCTAACCATTTGTTTTTTTCTTATGTTTTTATTGCCATTTATTTCTTGTTATTTTTATTTATTTCCATTTATTTTTATTTTACTAACCATTTGCCTCTGTGTTTGTTTTTAGCATTTGCATCATAACAAGAGGCCATTGTTCCCTAAAAAGACGTTCATTACGCACAAAATAATCTGAATTAATGGATAAAGGTGTTGTAATACAAGAGATTAAAAACCCTGAGGTACGACTATGGTCCGAGAAGACTCAGAAGGAAAAGGGAGACAGTCTTCAAGACAGCTATGTGTCAGAGCTGGTTAGCTACGCCTCGATCAGCCTAAAGCAGAATGACGTACAAGAGCTCCGGGACATCTGGGACAGTTGGAAGAATGAGGTGAAACAGAAGTTCAGCCAACGGTACGGTGATGTTGCACTTTTGCTTCATGTTAAGATTGATGAGCCCTTAATTAGAGCCTTGGTTCAATTCTGGAACCCGGGATACAGTTGCTTCACCTTTAACCGGGAAGACATGGTGCCCACCATAGAAGAGTACACTACACTGCTGCATTGTGAAAACATCAAACTCGAGCGGGCCTACCTTAAGCACATTAAAAGTCAACCTTTCAAAAATACACTAGCTAAGGTTGCCGGAGTTGATGAAAAATGGGTAACTGACCGAGCTCGATGTAAGGGTAGTGGAGAAGGAATCGCTTGGCTTCATATCAAACAACTAATGAAGCACCATCCTGATGAATGGAAGACAATAGACATGTTTGCATTAGGTCTGTATGGTCTAATTTTATTCCCAAAGACCTTGGGATACATCGATGCCACCGTAGTGGAGCTATTCGAACAACTCTCGAGAAGGGTCAATCCAGCACCAGCCATCTTGGCTGAGACCTTTCGATCTCTCAATCATTGCCGAAGAACTGGCGGAGGAAGATTCACCGGGTGCATTCAGCTCCTTCAAGTCTGGATTCACAGCCACTTCTGGAAGACTGACGGGGTTGCCTACCGCCGTTTCAGCACCACCTATTCACCTCTAGGTGAATTTATTACCTTAAAATGGCATGAAGGCGCCTCGAAAGAAAAATGGATGAAGGTCTTTATACATCTTCAAGACCGAGATATTGTTTGGAGAGCCCCTTGGTTATTCCTCAGTGATGTTCTTTTTCGATGTGGTGACTCCGACACTGTGACCTTACTTGGACTTTGGGGAGCAGTCGGGTATGCTCCGCTATTAGCACTCAGACAATATGGAGCACGTCAGTTTGTCCCAGCAACATGCGGGTTAGCTAGGTCAGAGTTTGAGTATCACGGCGACAGCTATAAGAAGATGATCAAAGAAGTAGCCGATTCGTGGAGGAAAGTATTCCGGATGGATGTTGTAGCTGCCAGAAGTATGCTCACTCCGGATTATGTGGAGTGGCGAAGATTGAGAAAGAATGACAATATCCCTGTGCCAGACTGTGATGACACCCGGACCATGGAGGAACATCTCAGGCACGTCCCTTCTGAACTCGAGATAGCCAAGACCGAGTTTGAAGCCGTGAATAATGAGCTAAAGCAAAGAATAAAGGAACTTGAAGCTGAACGTTATCAGTGGAAGCTTGATGCTGACTCTCAGAAAGATCGGGCAGAAAAACTGGAAAAAGAACAAAAAAGAGTCCGTTTTGAGCTCGAAGACTTGAGAAAGGGGTATCAAGATAAGGTCAAGGATAACTCCAAGTTGAAGGTAACCTCTGAATACTGGAAAGACGAAGCTCATAGCCTGAAAAGGAAGTTCGAGGGGCCTGATGAGAGAGCTTGGAAAGAACAAACAAAGACTGCCCAAAGGCGCTTGGCAGATAGTCAATATCAGAACCAACGCTTGAGAGTTCGGGTAGCTGACTTAGAGAAACAGCATGAGAAAGATGGCAAGACGATAGCTGAGTTAGAAGCTATTATAGATGGGTTCAACAGGCAAGCAAACGAGCTTCAGATGGTGCCCTTCGACGGAGAACTACAATGGCGTTTCCGTTGGGAACAAGCACAACGAAGGGTGAGGGCCCGAGACGCAACCATCCGAGATTTCCTGGATCAAGTGCAAAAAGCATCCCGTCATCTTCACGGCCTAGCAAGGGAAGCTGGTGTGGTTCGACAAGGCATTCAACCAGCGACAGATGAAGGCAGAAGACTTGTCAACCTACTGGAAGCTGTTCGGGGTCTAGAGGATTTAGTCCGAATGTACCTTTAATCTGTTTTTATGTCTCTAAAAAGATAAAACATTTTTGTCTGAATAAGGATTATTTATAATAATGAACACTTTTCTGGATCAATGCCTCCAATTGCATACATCATACATTGCATTTCTTGCATTTTATATTTCATGTTTGTTTATTTTATATTTTCCATGTTTTTACATTCATATTAACTAACAGAACA